CATTCTCCCTGAGCACATCTCCTTATTATGTCTGGAAACTTTCCAAAATTTCAAGTGTTTTAAAGTTATTGTATATTTTATATGTATTGTACTTGATAATTAAACTTGTGTACACCTGCACCTAAATAAACTTACACACTGTGCTGGCATGTAGGTACACATTAAAATCACTAAGAGTCTCTCTACTCTTGATGCAATAATAATAATAATAATCTCTTGGGCGCATTAATGTCGCATATTACGTTAATATAGACATTTCCCTTAATCTATCTATGATATTTTTTCAAAATTATATAAGAAACACATTATGTAACACACGAACATGATACATGCACCCACAGTATAAAAATTTATACAAATATATATGAGATGTTTACCAAACGGTTTGTAGAAGTGTCGGAAGAATTACGTTTTCGCTAGCCCGTCACCTGTTACTAGGGATAACTGTAGAAAAATATTCCTTTCGTATGCCTTCACTTTATAGCTATAATTCTGTACTAACTTGTACACAGTGTAAGAGTATTTGTTTCATGATTTAATTATTATAATAATAATAAAAATATTATAAGGTAAAAGTTTCACAAACTCTTACAAATGTACATGAATGAACTAAAACTGGACACGTATTAATACCGTCTATTTCGCCGTCTATTTCGCCTGACCGAGTGATCGTCCACAACCTGTTCAGTTTGTTTGTTTACGCTGTCTGAGCTCGGTGTATCATTAAATGTTGTATATTACGTTAATATACACATTTTCATTAATCCATCCGTGATATTTTTTCAAAATTATGTAATAAACACGATACATAACATAAATACATAACAACATATGTGTAGAGAACCTAGGATAACCCAAAAAAGTCAGAGTGACTTACTTCCATTGCCTTCACTCAGAGCATCATTTCTTCTCAAAATGATGTTACATGAGAATGGGAGTGTTCTTCTTTATTTATTCTACCGTATCAATGTAGAGACAACCTGTACACAATGTAACTTGTACACAAACCAGACGTGTACACTGTTTACAAAACTTACCTTCGCCTGGTTTGTTTACATAACTCTGCGCCTGTCCTCTCTCATGCACTCATTCTTTCTCTCTGGTATGGTAGCCTGGCTGACTACCATACATACCACACTTGATTTTTTACAATAAATACTACTCATCTCACCCTATATTTTAAGGTAAGTAATGAGTGAACTGTGTATACATTTTATCGCTCTGGGATGCTTAAATATCATAGAATAGTATGTGTGGGTGGGTTGGCCTGGTATGGTAGCCTGGCTGACTACCATACATACCACACTTGATTTTTTACAATAAATACTACTCATCTCACCCTATATTTTAAGGTAAGTAATGAGTGAACTGTATATACATTTTATCGCTCTGGGATGCTTAAATATCATAGAATAGTATGTGTGGGTGGGTGGCCTGGTAATGGTAGCCTGGCTGACTACCATACATACCACACTTGATTTCTTACAATAAATACTACTTGTCTCACCCTAGATTAAGACTATAAATATTTTAAGGTAAGTAATGAGTGCACTATGTGTGTATTGTACTTTTTTATTGTTTTTTGATGCCTGGTTCTATTGCTAACATAATATATGTTAGTGTAAACTTGTTATCTAGTGTTTGTATGCATTTGTAAGTGGGAAAAAAAGGGTGTTCCACTTTACGGCGGTTTCCGCTTTACGGCGGTAGCCTGGAACCTAACCCGCTGTATAAGTGGGGCCCTCCTGTACATGAACACATTCCTAATCTTACATAACCTGTCATTTCTGTCAGGCCTGGTTTTGTCTGAGAAGTGAAGCATATGTAATAGTAGCACAAATCGATTCACTCCTATTATATCACTGAAACCTGGGGTTGCAATCAAGCGGTTTGTTGGCCAGTATGATTTCACACTGTGCTTATACACATGTGGCATAAGCATTATTGTGGCAAAGAAAAGATACATCTCAGCCACAGTTGTCTCCTTCCACTGGTGTAGGCATGAGTTTGGTGAAAGTATTGTGTTTGCCATGGTGTACTTGTAGTATCTGTTGCTTTCCCTGACAATAATTTCCATCAGGGGTTCGTCAAAGAATAACTCGAAACATTCCAGTTCACTGGCATTGTTCCCAAGTGTACAAGATGGCCATATTCCACTTTGACTTTCATCAAAGTGATGGGGATTGGGAGCAAAATTGGCAGCTTCCTGCCAATCCCAGGTGTGGTCTGCTGGTGGGTACTGGATATTGACTGGTGGTTGTGGTTGTGGAGGCTGGTGTGGTGGGTGGGTGGGGGATGGTGGCCTTTGTTGTAGATCAGCTGAGGCAGCAGCGTGGGTGGCAGCATGGCCCACTGCTGGTGCCTTACGCCCAGCACCACCACTACCACCACCATGCACATTTTCCATCCCAATTTCAACACTATCATCTTCATTTTCACTGTCTGTTCCTGTTGTACAGCCATGGGATGTACTCTGAGATGTACTTCTTCACCTTGGAATAGCATATGGCACACTACCAGAGTGCATATATCGTCGTATATACTGACTCTTCACTGGAGAATATTCCACTTCACTATCACTACTGGAACTGTTTTCAAGGGCTTGTAGTTCATATTCACTATCACTATCATCAAAAGTGCTCACAACTGAGTCTGGGATTTGGGAAAATAGGAGTTTCCTCTTTGATTCTGGTACAACTGAATGTGAACAAGCTGGCCCAGCAGCAGTGGTGGAAGGCTGAGGGTTGTCTGGGTTTTCCTCACTATTACCAGTGTTATGGTCATTAGTTTCGGTCACAACCTCGCCAAAACCTTGAGACTCATCTTCACTGGCACTTCCATCTGTATTAGAACTGTCACTGGGGAACAAAAGTGTCCCAGTTCGCCGAGGAGTGAGGAGCTCCTTACCGCGAGGCATGGTGAACAAGGTCTACTAAAATGGCATTCCCACAATGCACCACTGGGTCCCAGAATTTTTTTCTACTGCGCACACCGACCACGCAGACCCATTCTCTCACATCTAGGCCTACCAGCTGTTTCCCGCTTAATTTGAAGCCGCTAGAATTTATGCATACTAGTACGGCACCAACCCTGAAAGGGTTTAAGATTTTCCTGAAGTGGGACAGGGTTTTGTCACTAAACATGTTGCAGATATGGCTTGTTTCAGCTTTGTCAGTGTGGTGTTTCTCTACAAAAGCTTGCACCCTAATCCACATTGCACACACCTCTTTAATCTCTGAAGAAGGCACCTCCTTCATTCCCTCTTCCTCCTCCTCTGAAGCAAGTTCCTCAGCTGCAGTCTGTTGTTGTTCAAGTTGAAGCTCTTGCAGCTCTTCAGTGGTTAGCTCTTCCCTGTGGTCCTCCACCAACTCTTCGACACCCACACCACTTGCCTCCAACCCCAGGGACTTCCCCAGTGCCACAGTAGAGTCCACAGGGTCAGCAGGGTCAGGGTCAGGGTCAGCCTCAAACCCTTCAAAATCCCTCTCTTGGACACAATCTGGCCACAGTTTTCTCCAAGCAGAGTTCAAAGTCCTGGAAATCACTCCCTCCCAAGCCTTACCTATAAGGCTTATGCAATGGAGGATAGTGAAGTGATTCCTCCAGAACACTCTTAGGGTCAACTAAGTGTCTGACGTCACTTCAAAGCACTTTTGAAACACTGCTTTTGTGTAGAGTTTTTTGGAGTTAGAAATGACCTGCTGGTCCATGGGCTGGAGGAGAGGAGTGGTGGTAGGAGGTAAGAACTTCACTGTGATGAAACTGAAGTCCCTAAACACTTAGTTTTGCAAGTCTGGAGGATGTGCAGCAGCATTGTCCAGTAACAGGAGGCACTTGAGTGGCAATTTCTTTTCCAGGAGGTATTTTTTCACACTTGGGCCAAACACATCATTAACCCACTCTTTGAAAATTTGCCTTGAGACCCATGCCTTATGATTAGCTTTCCACATCACACACAATCTATTTTTCATGACATTGTTTTTCTTGAACACTCTGGGATTTTCTGAGTGATACACATGCAAAGACTTCACTTTGAAATCCCCGCTAGCATTACCACACAACAGAAGAGTAAGCCTGTCTTTCAGAGGCTTGTGTCCTGGTAGTGCCTTTTCCTCCTGGGTAATGTAGGTCCTGTTTGGCATATTCTTCCAAAACAGGCCTGTTTCATCACAATTGAACACTTGTTGGGGTTTGAATCCTTCAGCCTCTATGTACCTCTGGAATTTCTGCATGAATTTTTCAGCCGCACATTTGTCAGAACTTGCTGCCTTAGCATGCATTACAACACTGTGTATGCCATTATGCTTCTTAAATCTATCAAACCATCCTTTGCTGGCCCTAAATTCACAAACTGCAGCACTTGTTCCATGCATTTTCTTTGCAAGATCCTCATGCAACTGCCTTGCCTTCTCACAAATAATAGACTCCACAACACTGTCTCTCACTAATTCTTTTTCCTTAATCCACAATAATAATAACTTTTCCATCTCTTACATTATTGGTGCCTTTGTTTAGTTAGAAAAGTTACTCCTTTTGCAACATTAGCATCTTTGATTTGTTCTTTCTTTGCCAAGATGAATGTAATTGTTGATTTATTCTTGCTGTACATCCTGGCAAGTTCCACCACCTTCATACCACTCTCAAACTTTTCTATCACTTCACGCTTAAATTCCATGGTGTTTCTCAATTTCTTTACCACAGGAACTTTCTTTGGAGCCATGGCTACTTATTTCACAGTTGCACTGCAAAAAAAAAAAAAATGGGAAACAAACAAAATGTTTGGATGTATGAGCAGAAGCTTCCTCAGCCACCGAGAGACAAAGCCAAACTGACGCACAAGTGGCCCCAGCCGGCGGATGGATGCGTCCCAAACGGCCAATCACCGAATTAACGGCCGATAACCGGGCGCCGAAAAACTGGCCGATAACAGAACCAGCCGATAACCGGGGGTCCACTGTATAATGTTAATGTTAAAATATTAATTTAAACTTCTTTTACAGTACATGAATGAACACAAACATATTGATTTGGAGGATATGACAGATTACCTAATCAACAATTATCGAGAATTTCGAGGCAAGAATAAAAAGGCCTTCATGCGAAGTGTTGAGAAAGGTAAGTACTGCACTGTTGTATTAACCCTTAAACGGTCCAAATGTATATATACGTTCTCTCGCGTAGTGCCCCAAACGTATATATACGTTTCCTTTGTCATTTATTCAACATTGGCACGATAAGCCTGTCGCCTAGACATGAGAGAATGGGTGTGCGCACTCACTCTGCGCCATATGAAAAAAATTGGGGACGCCTGTGTACCATATGCTCTTTTTTCCTATTAAAAAAAAAAAAAGATTTTTTTTTCTCAAAAAATTCGGCGCTACGCGAGAAAACGTATATATACCTTTGGACCATTTAAGGGTTAATATATATATTTTTTGATAAGTTTCTTTGTATATTTATATATTGTGTTGTACAGCATATTCTTCACAGCAAAAGTTATCTGTATGAGAAAAACATCAAATACAGTTAATACCCTTACAATATTAGGAGGGAATAATCATCACTGTGATGCATGGTAGATAATTCATTCTCAGTCTTATAAACTAAATTTTCATTACCTTTTAAATAAATTTACTTCATTCTTATCACATTACAAGGTATTACATGTACATAACAATTTTGTTCTGTTTGTCAAGTCTGAAGCTATTTGACCAACAACTGATTGTCCAAATATTAGCTGCTATTGAACTGCAGTGCCAGACAAGCCACTTATTTGTGATTAAAAACAGTAATTAATTTATATTTATTTAACCCAACCTAACTTAACCTATAAACTGGTTGCTACCTATCAGTAGCCTTTTAAATACTGTTCACAGCCTGGCTGAGTGAATAAACAGCCTAATGTTAAATGTGCAATGTTCCACATACAAATTTCTCTACCACAAGACATGCAGCTTTTTATACAGTACAATTGAACTCCTGAATTAGCAAGAGATCTCATGAATTTGGAATTCTTGAATACAGTAATACAAAATTTTGTCCATTTAACCCTTTCAGGGTCCGTCCCGTAGATCTACGGCTATACGTTCAGGGTCCAAACCGTAGATCTACGCCATGAGCTCAGCTCACTCTGATAAACTGTGAGTGGTACATTTGGGCCTAGATATGAGAGAATACATCTATGTGGTATGTGTGACACCACATAAAACAGATCCTGCAGCACACTGTGCATAATGAGAGAAAAAAAATGAAATCATGATTTTTCGATTAAAACAGCAACTTTGCAGTGTTTTTTCGTATGTTTTTTATAGTTGTATTTGCGATTTCTTGGTCTCATTTGATAGAATGGAAGACATGTTACAGAAATAGAGATGATTTTGATTGGTTTTAACATTGGAAATGGCTTGAAACTGAGCTCAAAGTAGCGGAAATGTTAAATTTTTGCCGATATTCAAGAGTAAACAAACAACCTCACACGTCTAATACACATCAGCTGGTGGGTCTAATATACATTCACAAATATGGTGATGATATTTATACAATTATTACAGTATTGCATAACAGTAAATCTTCTATTTTTTGGTGTGAATAAAAATTCATTATGTGAATAAAAAATCAAAATGGAATTTATTTGTAAAGCCTCAAAACATAACTAATGAACAGAGGAAAATGTTAGTTTAGTGCCAGGAATGCCTACATTGTTCATTCTGGACCCTATTTTGAAATTGGAATATTTTGAACTTTGTGTTAAATTGGCCAAATTAACAATTTCCGATCACTTTATTTTGTAGTTGAAACAATTGACTTGGCGATTTCTTGTGCTCAATCGATAGAATAGAAGTAATACTAGTGAAATAGCTAAGAATTTGGTTGATTGGAATAATGTAATTGGCCTAAAATGGGAGTCAAAGTCGGCAAAATCGCCGATTCGTAAATATCGCTGACACATCAAAATTCGCGAGAGCATAATTTCGTCAATTTTCCACCAATTTTCGTACTTTTTGTTTTATTACCTTCACAAAAAGATTCTCTACGATTTCATAAGAAAAAATAACAAATTTTTTTTTTGAAATATCTTGGACACTGGTGCGTGACTCCAGATTTGGGCCTTGGACCCTGAAAGGGTTAATAAATATTACTAAAGATTTGTGCTCATTTTGTGTGTTAGAGGTCATCTCTCTTTAAATTTTGCTTTACCCAGGTTAATGCCGAACATTTACTAGAAAAAACCATACCACGGGTGGGATTGAGCCCGCGGTCAGAGTGTCTCAAAATTCCAGACCGTCGCATTAGCACTTATAAGTTAAATAATGTTGAACTTAGCCATACAGATTGCGAAAAGGACTTGGGGGTTATGGTAAGCAGCAACCTTAAACCAAGACAACAATGCCTAAGCGTACGTAATAAGGCAAATAGATTACTGGGATTTATATCAAGAAGTGTAAGCAACAGAAGTCCAGAGGTCATACTGCAGCTTTATACATCATTAGTAAGGCCTCACCTAGATTATGCAGCTCAATTCTGGTCTCCATATTACAGAATGGACATAAATTCGTTAGAAAACATTCAGCGTAGGATGACTAAATTAATACATAGCATTAGAAATCTTCCTTATGAAGAAAGATTGAAGACTCTATAAGTTACATTCACTTGTTTAGACGAAGAATGAGGGAGACCTGATCGAAGTGTATAAGTGGAAGATAGGTATTAATAAAGGGGATATTAACAAGGTCTTGAGGATATCTCTCCAGGAGAGAAACCCGCAGTAATGGATTTAAAATTAGATAAGTTTAGATTTAGAAAGGACATAGGAAAGTATTGGTTTGGAAATAGGGTAGTTGATGAGTGGAACAGTCTACCTATTGGGTTATTGAGGCTAGGACTTTGGGTAGTTTCAAATTTGGGTTGGATAAGTACATCAGTCTGTGGGTGGAAGGGAAAGGCGGGGTGGGGGTGGGCCTGGGGAAGGGGGTTTGGAGGGGGGGGGTAAAGGAGGTTTTGTGTGGAGGGTTTGGGGGGGATTCCAGCAGGGCAGCTGAGCGTTTTGTAGGAGTGAATGGAGACAAAGGGTTTTTAAAAAACTTGACGTGCTGTTGGAGTTGAAAAGAAACATTTATAAAAGGGATTCGGGGAAACCGGCAGGCCGGACTTGAGTCCGGAGATGGGAAACATGCCTGCCTGAAGGGGGGTGTTAATGTTGAGTTAAAAAAAAAAACTGTAGTGTAAAGCACCCTTCTGGCAAGACAGTGATGGATGAATGAGGGTGAAAGTTTTTTTTTTCCCGGGCCAACCTCCTTGGTGGGAACGGCCAGTGTGAAATAATAAATAAAAAAAAAGTACATGATGGGGGGGTTGGATTTGAGTGGGACTTGCACATCGGAGCTTGTTTTTGGGTGGGATTGAAAAAGTGGTCAAATTTTTGTTAGGGGAGAATTGAAAGGACCTGCCATATGGGCCAACAGGCCTCTGCAGTGTTTCCTCCTTTCTTTTTCTTTGTTCTTATTTTGCCACGGGCCACAAAGTCTGGAAATTTTGAGACCTCCCCACGGGGGGTTCAGTCCCCCGCCCATGGTATGGTTTGTTTGCAATTGTGTCATTATGATTTCGTGAGTCATTTACTAGAATGTCTAATCTAGAATATCCAAATTCAAAAGTGAGAATGTTTAGATAATCTGGTTAATGTTGACTTTAATATAAATGTCTAATCTGAGCATGCAATAGGTGTTTCCTTCATCAGTTGTATTTGCTGTGACCATTAGGAATGTATCCCTCCAGAATATCAAGGGCTTGTAGCATTGCATATGCAGTATGATATGGATTTCACAGTTATTATTCACATTTAGTGAAAAATTCTTTGATATGCATAAATGATTAAAAATGGCACCATGGTCATCTGCTCTATATTTCTGTCGGCAGTTGCACAGCCCTAAAGTTAGTTTTCATCAACATTATAACAATAGTGCAAACACTTCTATTAGGAAAAAATATTATATATGCTATGTAATTTTTCATTATTCAAATGCTGATGATTCATTCTTGCATTTTGTACAGCGTTTGAATGGCACCTGTATTGTCGTAAGCAGAATGAAGAAAGCAGTGACATTGAGGATATCATAGATAGTGATGGAGGAGGTTCAGATGTCATGGATATCACTGAATCTGAACACCCAGTTAAGGTAAGTTATTAAAATCATGTGTGGAAAGTACAGTGGAACCTCAAATATCGAACTTTCTTCAGTCCAGAAGGCTGTTCGAGTGCCTTTACCGAATGAATTTATTCCCATCAGGAATAATGTAAATTAGATTAGTTCATTTCAGACCCTCAAAAATACACTTATAAAAGCACTTACAAAAATACACTTACATAATTGGTTGTGTAAAGTAAAAGGACACAAGTGCAACTAATGTGACATTTATTGTGGCAACGTTTCGCTCTCCAGGAGCTTTATCAAGCCATTACAAACAATACATGGACACAGAGGGTATATAAAGGCTCAGAGTGAGGTGAATACTAGTGAGGTACCATTTCGATGTTCACTAGTGGTAGTAGTAGTAGTAGTAGTAGTGGTAGTGACAAAAGTAATACAATATGGTAGAGCAATTAATTCGTACATGAGTAAAAGGATATAAAAGCTATTATGAATTAATTGCTCTACCATATTGTATTACTTTTGTCACTACCACTACTACTACTACTACTACTACCACTAGTGAACATCGAAATGGTACCTCACTAGTATTCACCTCACTCTGAGCCTTTATATACCCTCTGTGTCCATGTATTGTTTGTAATGGCTTGATAAAGCTCCTGGAGAGCGAAACGTTGCCACAATAAATGTCACATTAGTTGCACTTGTGTCCTTTTACTTTACATATTGTCGGTAATTCTACCAACTTTATTACATAATTGGTTGTGTTGGGAGCAGTTCGATTTTTGAGGTTCCACTGTATATCAATTCCACTTCATTTAAGATAACATGCAACTCTTCAGCTCTTTATCTCCCTTATTTTTGCTTCTACAATGTGTTTTTTGACAATATTTCTAGCATAATTTGGCTTATGCTTTGATATTAGACTCTTCTAATTTTTTACATCCTTTATTCTTACTCCTACAGTGTCTGTTTTAACACAGGATTTCTAGTACCTATAGAAAGTACAGTGGTCCCTCGATAATCGTAGTTCTCGAGAATCGTAGATTTCGGAAATCATAGGGATATTTTCGTATAAACATGGGCTCGTTAATCGTAGATTGACTCGCAAATAGTAGTTCGTCCAGGACGTACACACAGCCCCGAGCCGCCTCACACTCCTTTCCCAGCCAGTGTGCCATTGTTTATCAGTGAGTGAGGATGATCCCACGAGTTCATACGATACATTTCATAATATTCCATTCGTTTTAGTGTTTGCAACTGCTAAATATGTCACCATGGCTCCAAAGAAAGCTTCTAGTGCCAGCCCTTTGGTAAAGAATATGAGAAACACATATAATTTAAGAAAAAGTTTGTAGAAAAATATGAAGGTGGTGGTGGTAGAGTGGAAGCAGTTGTGATAGTGTAGATGAATGGTTCAGAGAACTGACATGTTGATAAATTAGACACATGTGCAACTCTTGGTTGATAGTGGTTGATGGTGGTAGAGGGTGGTAGTGATGGTTGTAGCAGTTGTAATAGTTGTAATAGTAGTTGTAATACTGGTTCTTATGTTATTGAGGCTAGGACTTTGGGTAGTTTCAAATTTAGGTTAGATAAATGTATATGAGTGAGAGGGGTTGGATTTGAGTGGGATTTGCAGATGAGTGGATAGTTATCAAAGCTTATTTCTTGGGTAGCATTGAAAATTGGGTTGGGCAAATGTTTTGTTAGTGGGATGGATTGTAAAGGACCTGCCTAGTATGGGCCAACTGGCCTGCTGCAGTGATCCTCTGTTCTTATGTTCTTAAGGTGGTAGCATTGTAATAGTGTTAGAAGGTGGTAGTGGTGGTAGAGGGTGTCTTCTTTAGTGATTCAGCAATTCTACCAACTCCTCCAATGTTATTGGAGTTATATAGGGCTACAGAAAACACCGGCGCCTCAGCTGCTGCTTCACCACCATTATGGACGGTTTACTCTCAGTGGCCCTTATATACCCAAGAACAACACAACACAACACCTCTCGTGACATACATAATGACTTATTTTATTCATTCTAGAGTATATTCCATGTTTCTATGTTATTAATATTGTTTATTATGTCATATTAGTTGAATTGTGATAAATAAGCTGTAGAGTTGATATTACTGTCATATTCTCCAACAATAAACTTGCCATCCCTCCCTCACACAAACAAGTCTCCAATAAGAATGTAAGAAAGGATGAACACTGCAGTAGGCCTGTTGGCCCATACTAGGCAGGTCCTTTACAATCCTTCCCACTAAGAACATAACAATGGAAGAACACTGCAGGTCTAAGAACATTAGAATGGAGGAACACTGCAGACACTGGCCCATACAAGGCAGGTCCTTATCAAAATGACCTCTACCCAAAGCTACCCAAGAATTTACTCCCATACCCAATGACACAAATCAAACTCAGCCCCTCCCACTCATATATTTGTCCAATCTCTTCTTAAAGCTACCCAAGGTGGTGACCTGTACTTAACTCTGTGAAGAAGTGTCTTGTGTGCTCCCCGTGGAGTGAGCCAAGATACCCTCAATCGAGCAACTTTACCAGCAGCTTAAGGAAGAATTGAGGGTAGCGAAGATGGAGATACGGCGATTGACTGAGGAAAACAAGAGGATTCGTAGTAGTCCTGTTTCGAGTCCTCAGGTCAAGAAGGGAACGTGGACAGTGGCTGGAAGCATGAGACAAAGTTGATGATCAAGAAGACGAATGGAAAGGTAGAGACGACGAAGAAGAAAGAGACTGCTGTGGAAACTGTTGTGGAAACATCCAATGCATTCTCGGTGCTATCCGACGAATGTGAGTCGACTACTGGAAACGCCACTACAAACAACACCAAGGAAGGTATGAATATTGTTGTTGTTGGGGATAGCCAGGTTAGATATATGGATAGGACTCTCTGCTTGAAGGACAGGAGTAGGAGACAGAGAGTTTGCTTTCCTGGGGCTGGGATGGAGGACATTGTTAGCCGGCTTGAAGGTTCAAGACAGCAATAGACATAATTAGGAAGAAGAGGGGGGGGGCGCCCTGTTATATGTGGCATTTTGCCAAGAAGGGGCATTGGAAATGAATGGTTGTCCATAGCAATTGGTATTAATTGCTAGCTGGATAAATACTAAGGATAATGCAGTACCATTCATTGACAACTGGGACAACTTCTATGGCCAAAATGACATGTATGCTAGGGATGGGGTTCACTTATCCAGGGCAGGTGTGGGTTTTCTTGCTAGCTCAGTTGAGGGGGTTGTTAGGACTTTAAACTAGGATTAGTTAGAGGTATTGGTTTAAAAATGATAAAAAATGAGTATGGATATATTGACTTATGCTCTGATATTAAGAATCTTAATAGTAACTGTCATGGAGTAACCTTAGGTAATGATAATTTCAGAAATTTGTGTAAAAAAAAAAGGTGAATAGGAAAATGTGCAGAAGAAAAAAAAATATAATGGTATTTTATTTCTAACAGTCGAAGTGCAAGAAATAAGATTAATGAACTACGTTTGATAGCATGTGCTGGGAACTTCGATGTCATTGCATTAACTGAAAAGTGGTATGATTTAAAGATTCGGGATATGATTGTTGAGTGTAATATTCAAGGGTTTAAAGTTGTTCCATGTGGGTAGATGTGGGAAGGGGGAGGAGTTGCATTATATGTTCGAGAAAATATTAACTGTTGCATAAAAAAAAGGTATAAAAAATATGGAACAGCAACAGAATCTGTTTGGGTAGAGTTTGTAGAAAGGGCAAGAAAAGCTAATTCTAGGTGTAATATACCGACCTCCAGGCTTGGATCACGATAGAGGGAGACTAATTGGGGCGAAATTGTTAGGGCTTCTAGACACAATAATATAGTGATTGTAGGGGATTTTAACTTTAGTCAAATAGACTGGAATTCTTTGACCAGTAATCTGGAGTCCAGTGACTTTATGGAAACAGTTCAAGATGTTTTCTGAAGCAGTGTGTAACAGAGCCTACCAGGGGTAATTAATTTTTCTTGACCTAGTCTTGTCAAATAAGGAAAAAACTCGTAAATAATCGGAGATCACTGAAGAGCTTGGCGCAAGTGATCACAAATCCATCACTTTTTGCATTAACTGGGAATACAGGAATAATGATAAACAGTAAAAATCCCTGATTTTCGTTCTGCCGATTATAATGTATTTTAAGGAAACCCACCTGTCAAATCTTGTTTGGGGTTATCTAGCAATGTTTCTTTTGACGATCATACTTATGATTACGAAGGGTTTCTGCGTTTATGATTCTTTTTTTAAAATTTGTACACATGCTCAAGTAATAAAACCCCCAAAGAAAAATTTAAAAATTGGATAAAAAAGCCCCAAAAAGGGGTTTTTAACAGGAGATAAAGCATTTTTTGGGGAAAAAGGGGAATAAGGGAAAGGCGAAATTCCCGAAGGGGGGAAAAGGTTTAACCTTACTGCCCAAATTTTGGTTCAGCTTAAAAAAGAAATTTAAAAAAGGCGTTTTAAAAAGGCAAAATTTACTTTTGAAATTAGAGTTGCTAATGAATAAAAAAGCCCAATTCCAAAAGGGGGTTTCTTTCAAGTGTATAGGAAAAATTTTAAGGGAAAAAGTGGGGCCCCTCAGAAAATTGGGAAGGGGACAGCTGACGGATAACGAAAGGGAAATGTGTTAAATTTTTTAATGACTATTTTTGTCGGGTTTTTATACAGGAAGGACATAAAAAAAGATTCCAAAAATTTAACATTTTATTCAGTTCCTGACGAATTAAAAATTGACAATATTACGCCCAGGGAAGGACAGGGTTTTATCAAACAGAAAGAAAAAATTGAAGCAAAAAATTCCCCGGGTTTTTTTCCCAAAGGGGTTTTAAAGGGAAGGCAAGAGGGGAAATTTAGTCACCTTTAAAAGAGTGGTTTTCAATGCACCCACCCCTTACTGGTTTTTGGTGCCGGGTTTTGGGGAAAAGAGGGCCAAATTTTGGGGTTTCCTATTTTCCAAGTCGGGGGAAAAGCCCACCCCTTCAAAAAACGTCCAAT